GTTCTACATTCTTGGTGGTAGGAGGTCCCCCTGTTTCTCTGCTGGCTTCTCTCTTTTATATCTCAACAGACATTGACTTAAGACACAATCTAATCTTGTAGATTGAGACCTGCCCCATTAACATAACTACCTCTAATTCTGCCTCATTAACTTCACAGAGGTAGGATTTGCAACACGTACGAAAATCGTTTCAGATGATAAAATGGTGGACAATCACACAATATTGGGATTCATGACCTAGCCAAGTTGATACACATTTTTTGGGGACATGCTTCAATCATTAACACTCGCCTTCTCCAGATCAAAAACCCATTGCTGTCGAGTAGATTTCGACTCATAGAGATCTTGTAGGACACAGTAGAACTGCCCCATAGGGTTTCCAAGGAGCGGCTGGTGGATTCAAACTGCTAACCTTTGGTTAGCAGCCAAGCTCTTAACCACTGCACCACCAGGTCACCTTCTCCAGCCCTCCCTTAATCAAATTCTTTTGGTTTTGTTTTGGCATTCTCAAAACTCTTCTCTCCAGTTAAGTATTTAAAAATATAATTATCACATTTTCTTACAGCTATACTTCACTATCCCTGACTTTCAGAATGGGGCATGAATATCTGTAGAGACAGCAAGCTATACTGAATAAGGTTATCATTTCTCCCTGCCTACATACCCTATCAAGGAGCCCTGGTGGCACAATGGTCAAGAGCTCGGCTGCTAAGTGAAAGGTTGGTAGTTCAAACCCACCCAGCTGCTCTGTAGGAGAAAGACCTGGTGATCTGCTCTCTTAAAGATTACAGCCAAGAAAACCCTATGGTTCTACTCTGTCACACAAGGTCACTATGAGTTGGAACAAACTCGATGGTACCCAAAAACAGCAATACACTCTATCAGCCTGCACAGGTGAAAACAAGATTCCTGGCACTATAAATGCACCCCACAGGTGAGCTGGGGCTCCCAGAGTTGCACCCCGAGGCCAGCAAACACTGCTTTGCTTTGGTTCTTGGAGTAAGTTCAACTTTGTGTTCTTGGAGTAAGTTCAACTTTACTGTTGTTTTTTCTTACCCTACTTCATAGTCCTTTAATTATCTTTTACTTCCTTCAAGGAGAAATTAGCATGCAGAAGGCAACCAATACATGTTGTTGTTGCATAATGTATTTCATCTTATCTCCTTGAAGTTCTTGTGGTATTTGACTTGGCCATTACACTATTTGTTTTACACACACACACAGACACACACACACTCGCAACTCGCACACCTGCCTTGATTCCCTCGCTTCATTTTTTTTGAGGTTGCAACACTTTTCATTGATCCCAGGTTGCTTGGTTATTTGCTTCTTTCACTGTAACTGGTGTCAATGGAATTGGGGAGGGGGGTGAAATGAGACAGAATCTGCTTGCTCATGGACTTGATTGTGGGTGAAGATGTGGTGATGAGGAAAACTGGAGAAGTTGAGAATGACTCCCAGGTGTCTGCCTTTGTGACTGGGTGGATGTTAGTATGAGATGGGACCAGGCTAGGGGTGATGGTAGTTAGGAATCAGGGTGGAAAGCTCTGGGGCAACTATAGCTGTCTATAACCTCTAAACTCCTCGGTAGGCTTAGACTTCATAACACACACAGTCCCTCCCAAAGCAGACGGCTCACTTCTCATACTAACAGGGCATGCTAACCCCAGTCTTCCACTCATATCCTGGGTCTTGGGGCATTCCTCAAAGCACTTTGCATCATTAGTCTGCCATCCATCAACCAGAGACCAAAGTCAGACAGAGCCCATCACTTGGAACCCTCTGTGCAGTCACCACCTTGGAGGTGCAGAGTTGACCCACAACTTCCTGCAGTTTCCAGAAAATATGCTATTCATAGGAATTATAACTTATAACTTGTAATAATCTCTTGATGCAGTATGGAAATCTCCCAGAATCCCAGCCAACTTGAGGCCAATAAATCACCCTGGCCCTTCAACAGAACACAGTTCTTGAGAATAGCTACTGTATTCAAGGCAGCCAGATTCAATGGCTCTCTCCATGGACAATTCAGGATAGACTTTATCAGCTTCACGTATCTCGGGCTTCCCTTTTCTATGTTATGAGTTGGCCTTGTACTTTCTGTTCATAAGACAATTGGTTTAGCTTCCTCTTGCCGAAATGTAAATCACTTTCCAACCTGCCTCGCTGGTACTACACCTAGGCTCCCTTGACCCATATTTTGGGTATTTCTAAACTCTTAAGCCACACATTTCAAATTTCTGGGTTTCACCCACAGATGGCTGGCCACATCCATTGTGGATAGCTTTTATAGTCTCTCAGTGAAGAATATTATTTCTAACTCTTTTGGGGAGCTATTATAATCATAAGAAGCCCTGCTGGCACAGTGGTTGAAAGCTTGGCTGCTAACCAAAAGGTTGGCAGTTCGAATTCAGGAGCAGCTCCTTGGAAACCCTGTGGGGCAGTTCTACTCTCTCCTATAGGGTCGCTATGAGTCAGAATTGGCTCGACAGCAATGGGTTTGGTGGTTGGTGGTTCAAACCCACCAGCTGCTCCACTGTAGGAAGATGTGGCAATCTGCTTCTGAAAAGATTAACCGCCTTGGAAACCCTAGGGGGCTGTTCTACTCTGTTCATAGGGTTTCTATGAGTTGGAATCAACTCCACTACAACAGGTTTGGTTTTGGGTTTTCTTTTTTTAAATTATAATACTAAGGAGCCCTGGTGGCACAGTGGTTAAGAGCTCACTGCTAACTGAAAGGTTGGTGGTTTGAACCCACCAGCCACTCCACAGGAGAAAGATGTGGCAGTCTGCTTCTATAAGGATTATAGTGTTGGAAACCCTATGGGGGCAGTTCTTCTCTGTCCCATAGGGTCACCATGAGTCAGGATTGACTCGACGGCAACGTTTTTTTTTTTTTTTATTTTATCGTAACACTTATTACAACGTGAATGTCCTGGAGTTATGGTCTGGAGGCATACTTGTGGAGCAAGCATCTCAGTCCACACACACTCGAGTGTGCTGTGCTTTCTTTGGCCCACTTGAAGAAGGCCTGGACTCCCTCCACTTAGAGGGCGTGGAGATATGTCCACCCCAGCACCACAGCCTTCGAATGGGCTGGCACCACTCTTTTTGCCAGATGTCTAATCAAAATGCGATCTGCCTGTCAAGCTTATAGAGGGTAACTGTCTCACCCCTCCTTTCTTTGCTCTTGTCCTTGTTCTACTCCTGCTTCTATGTTTTTATTTCCTTGGCTTCATCTCCCATTTCTGGCCCTAAAATCCCAGGTTTTATGGTTTCAATCCTTTATTCTCTTCTTCTTATGTGTTGTCCCACTCCTGACCCTGCTGGCCTCCCTCTACCCATTGAATCCTTACACGCTAGTCACGCTCTACCTCCTGGCCCTCCTGGACTTCCCCCACCCTCTACATTTGAATAGACAAATTTTGCAGTCACAGCTTTGCTGAGAGTTCTGGTGGGAACCTGTGTGAACATTAAAAACCAAAGGCTCCACAGGTTCATTTATTGTTTAAACAAACATTGATTGAGGACTTTGTGTACCAGGCACTGTAGATGCAAAGATAAATGGCAGATATTTTTTACCTTCAAGGAGTTCACAGTTATTGTTGTTCGATGCCGGCGAGTCAGTTCCGACTCATAGCAACCCCATGTATAAAAGAATGAAACACTGTGCCATCCTCATAATAGCAGGTATGTTTGAGCCCATTGCTGCAGCCACTGTGTCAGTCCATCTCGTTGAGGGTCTTCCTCTTTTTCGATGACCTCTACTTTACCAAGCATGATGTCCTTCTCCGGGGATTGGTCCCTCCTGATAACATGTCAAAAGTAAGCGAGACAAAGTCTCCCCGTCCCTGCTTCTGAGGAGCATTTTGGCTGTACTTCTTGCAAGACAGATTTGTTCATTCTTTGGCTGTCCATGGTATTAAACAAACAAACAAAACCGTTGTCGTCAAGTGGATTCTGACTGATAATATTAGGAGGGGACAAATACTATGACAGTGCTTTGTTAAAACATTAAGTCATTCATTGAACAATTTATCTCTTCTTCTTATTTTAAAATATGGAACATATGGCGGACTCATTCACTGCACAGATTCAAGCCACTGTTGACTTTGACTGAATTTTGTTTTTTCTAAGGTCATCACTGGTCACTTGATCTCCCTAGAATTTCACACTGGTGACCACCACCCCCTCACTGAAATTCTTTCCTCTCCTCTTCTCCCAAGTATCCCGTCAATCGTTCTGGCTGCTCTTTGGGGGCTCCTTTTCCTTGTCCCTAGGTTCCATCCTTGGCCATTCTCTCTACTCACTCTACAGACTTCCCTGGGCAGGCACACTGAACTTTCAATGGGTGTTTCAATCGGGCTGTTTCTCCTGAAACACTCTTCCCTAGCCTTTTTACTTGGCTGTTGTCTCTCCATCATCAGCTTTCCGCACCTGTGCCTGGGTATAATTTTACTGTTTGCGTGCTTTCCCACCAGACCGTGCATTCTGACGCCAGGGAACATTCTGATGGGCAGCTGCCCATCTCTCTATCTCCAGTGCCCGCACTGCACCTACCCCTGAGCAAGTGCCCAATGAATGAGTGTTGAGTAATTGAAAGAATAAGAAGGGCCCCGCGAGGCAATAGCCAGGGGCATGAAGATGACAGAGCCGCCTCTGGACAGGGGGGCTGATGGCGCCTTCGGAGTGAGACCCGGCTACCAAGCAGGGTCCAGATGGCTCTGCTAAAGCCGGTAGCTGGCCCGGGGCTGGGGGCCGGAGCCAGCCGGGGCCAGGCAGGAAGACGTTCTGAGGCCGCCCAGCTTGGAGCCACCGGCTATAGCGAGTCGCCCCCGCGCGGCGAGGCCGGAGGAACCCTTGCAAACCCTGCCAGACCCTCTCGTCTCTGCGACGGCGCAACCGCCGCCGACCACCGCCCTCCCGCCTCGTTCTTGGCCCCATCCGGCCACCGTTGCTGTTTCTAGCGCCGCGCCCGTGACCCGGAAGCGCATTCTCCTTAGCAACTGCGGGACCGCGTTGGCGCCGGCCTCCTGGGAGCCACGGTGAGGCCCTTGCGCGCACGCCTTACTTGGCCCCCTTCCCGGACCTCCCCGGGGTCTGGCCTTGGGGACTCCGAGGCGCCTCGCCGAGCCGCAGCGGGGCGGCCCCGGGAAAGTGCCCTCCGGCTCCGGCGTCGCTCACCGGCCCTGGCGTCCTCCCTGCCCGCCCCACGCCCCCCGTATCCTCTCGGCACCGGGCCGGCCCCTCTGTTGTGGCCCAGTTCGGTGCGCGGGGAGGGAGATCAGAATTAAACAGAGCCTGTTGCTGTAGAGTGGACGCTTCCCCAGGCTCGGGTCACCTGTGGACGCGTCCGCACGGGTCCTGATGAGTAGGGACCGAGCGCCTTTGCAGCCTTGAGCAGCAGCCGCTTAATGATAACGCTTGCTATTTTGTGGGCTGCTTTGCGTTTCCCAAAATGACATCCTTTATCTGTTTGTGGATCTTGGAGACTCGTTTCATTGTTCATCTTGAACTGACCCTATTCCGGGGAGTTAGCTTTACAGTTGTGAGTGATGTGTGGTTAGTATTCTGTAGTTTAGATTTTGTGTCTTCCAATTTTCAGAAGGAAATCTCCCTAGGACTGACTAGGTTTGGGAAAAATTACAACTGAATTTTGCTACAACGAGGAGAGTAGGGGCAGATGTTATTAATATCTAATTTACACTGGAAAAGACTTAAAATCTCCCTTAATTGAGTTTGAGGGAGTGGTACTGTGTAAACTGTAAGCCTTGTTTGAACATTGTTGGATAACGACTTTATGTTAATCCAGTGACGATGGAACTAAAACAGACATATGAACAATCTTCGGGAATGTTGTTATTTAGGAATAAAATGCAGGAGTTTATGTACCAAAGTTTCTCATTCAGACAACTGTATAATTTCATTTCAGTTTAATAAGTATTTATTAAGCACCCACCGTGTTATATGCATCTGAAAGGATACAGAAGAAATAAGAGACTGCACACATTAAATTATTAGGAAAACTGTTGAATGGCATTTGTTTAAATGGAAAATATGTGGTTAGAGTGGAGAAATCTGTATCGGCTGGAGTTTTCAGGGAGATGTTTATGGATTATGTGGAACTTCATTTGTTGTTAAAGTATAAATATGAAATGTATTTGTATTGGAGAGAACAGGAAGTCCTAAATTTTTTCCCTTATATTCTTAGGGGTTTTGGAAATAGTCCCACATGACATTTTGAAGTCCTTATTTAAAGTTTTAAGTTCACTTCAAGGAGCCCTGGTTCAGTAGGTAAAGCCCTCGGTTGCTCACCGAAAGTCTGGCAGTTCGAACTCACCTAGCCGCTCCGAGGGATAAAGACCTGGCCATCTGCTTCTGTGAAGATTTCAGCCTAGAAAACCCTGTGGGACAGTTCTGCTCTGTCACATTGGGTTGCTATTAGCCGGAATCGCTAGACAGCACATAACAACAACAAGTTCACTTGAATGTGATATCAGTGTTATTGTGGTTAGGTGCCATCGAGTCAGTTCCGACTCATAGCGACCCCATGTACAACAGAATGAAACACTACCCAGTCCTGTGCCTTCCTCACAGTTTTTGCTACGCTTGAGCCCATTGTTGTGGCCACTGTGTCAGTCCATCTCGTTGAGGGTCTTCCCCTTTTTTGCTGACTCTCTACCAAGCATGATGTCTTTCTCCAGGGACTAATCCCTCCTGATAACATGTCCAAAGTATGTGAGACGTAGTTTCGCCATCCTTGCTTATATAAGCAGCATTCTGGTTGTACTTCTTCCAAGACAGATCTGTTCGTTCTTTTGGCAGTCCATGGTATATTCAATATTCTTCGTCAACACCACAATTCAAAGTGTCAGTTCTTTGGTCTTCCTTATATTCATTGCTCAGCTTTCACATGCATATGAGGTAATTGAAAACATCATGACTTGGGTCAGGCGCACGTTAGTCCTCAAGGTGACATCTTTGCTTTTCAACACTTTAAAGTGGTCTTTTGCAGTGGATTTGCCCAATGCAGTGTGGCTTTTGATTTCTTCACTGCTGCTGCCATGGGTGTTGATTGTGGATCCAAGTAAAATGAAATCCTTGACAACTTCAATCTTTTCTCCGTTTATCGTGTTGTTGCTTATTGGCCAGTTGTGAGGATTTTTGTTTTCTTTATGTTGAGGTGTAATCCATACTGAAGACTGTGGTCTTTGAGCTTCATCAGTAAGTGCTTCAAGTCCTCTTCACTTTCAGCAGGCAAGGTTGTGTCGTCTGCATTATGCAGGTCATTAATGAGTCTTCCTCCAATCCTGATGCTGGTTCTTCTTCATATAGTCCAGCTTCTCTCTAATCCGAGAAGCTGGTGATATCAATATTTCTTTCAAATACTGTTAGCACGAATCTGTCTGGCATTTTTCCTCTTTGAGATCTACAATAATGAGGCTAACAGCAAGGGACTTTGCTGCTTAGAGATTCTTTCTTTTGCTGCTGTAGTTGGTTTAATGTTTACATCAGACACCAAAGTTTAGAGTTAAGTTCTTGTTTCATATATACTTAAGCATCTTGTGAAGTGTTGCTCTTTATTTATTTGGCAGATATTTGCAGAGTGCTTCCTGCGTAGCAGGCACCGTGTCAGGAAGTGCCAAAGACAACACTTAACTCAGCAACCAGTAGCTCTGCTTTATGTGTAGTGTGTGTGTTTGTGTATGTTTAACCTGTCAGTCTTTGATGCTCAGCATTTGTCTAGAGACAGAAGGACCGGGGCAATTTATACAGACGTCTGAATTGACTAAAAAAATTTTTTTTGTTGTTTTGATGAATACATCCTCCAAAGACAGATTTGTGAAGATGAACAAACTCTAAAGGAGACCACTTAAGATGTTTTGTTACTTGTTGTAGGTTTGTTGTTGTTTTTGTTAGGGGCTGTGGCTTCAGTTCCGACTCATAGCAGTCCTGTGTACAACAGAACAAAACACTGTCTGTTCTGGTCTTTGTAGGTTTAGTTCCTATGTATTCACTTATTCAACAAATACTTGCATGCTTACTAGGAGCCCTGGTGGCATAGTAGTTAAGAGCTTGGCTGCTAACCAAAAGGTTGGCAGTTCGAATCCACCAGGCGCTCCTTGGAAACCTTATGGGGCAGTTCTGCTCTGTCCTGTAAGGTCGCTGTGAGTCGGAATTGACTCGATGGCAGCAGGTTACTTACTGCTAGGCTCTGTGCTTTGCTTTGGAGATGAGGTCCCTGCCCGAAGTTCACTCACTATTGGGAAAGCAAATGACAATCAAATGTTCATACAAATGTAAAACTGCAGCCGGCAGGAGTGCTTTGGTTAGGGAAGTCACAGAAGGGACGTTTGACCTGAGATCTGAAGGAGGCACAGGGAGGGAAGAGTGTTCCAGTCAGAACAGACAGCCAGGGCAAAGACCCTGTGACAGCAGGCTTCATGGAGAGGACCAGGGACTGAAGGTACAGCTCTGTATGGAGCAAGAGAGGGTAGAAGAATCTTTCGTGAGAGAGGTTTAGAAGGTGGGCAGGGGTCAGGTGGTGCTGGGCCTTGTAGGGACCCTGGACCTTGTAGGCAGGTGAAGGAGTTTCTTTGCATCCTTGAAGTAAAGAGAAGCCTCTGTAGGCTTTCACTTAGATGCTTAGGCTGGACTGTGGGTGGGATGACACCTTTAGATTGTGTTTGAATAGCCTGCTTTGTATTTCCACTATTGCTTAGTATTAGTATAGGCACAGGCCATGTAACATCTGTTTGGGCAACATCTGACTGTATATACATCTGTGGTCCCATAAGGTTATGATAGAGTTCTGAAATCCCAATTGGAGAACGGGACTTAGTGGACGTAACTGGTTGTAGTGAACACAACAGCTTCCTGAACACAACACTTGTATCTCATGTCCATTATATACAAAGTGATTGCACTGCCAGGCGTATAATGGTACAGTACATATATAACCTATAATACATATGTCTTGATAGTCATAATAAATGCCTGTTATGTTATTGGTTTATGTATGTACTGTACTCCGTTAAGAGTGATGTCGGCTGTTGGTTTTTTATAAATACCTTTTTTTATGTTGGGGAATTTCCCTTCTATACCTATTCTATTGAGAGTTTTTATCAGGAATCTCGATGTTGGACTTTATTGACTGCCTTTTCTGCATCGATTGAGATGATCACGTGATTCTCTTGTTTTATTTATGTGTTGGATTACGTTGATTGGTTTTCTAATGTTGAACCATCCTTGCATACCTGGTATGAATCCCACTTGGTCGTAGTGTATTATTTTTTTGATATGATGCTGAATTCTATTGGCTAGAATTTTGTT